TCTATGACTCTATGAATAATCTTTAAAAAGTGGCTTTGGGTGAGTTCAGCAGGTGGGCACTGTTTTAAAATTAAGGGTTGCTACTGTAGGACAGAGATGAGGAATGTTTTTTCCCTCAAGGAAGGTTCTGTGATTTTAGAACCCTCGGCATCAGAAGGCAGTGGAGGCAAAGTCATTGAATACTTTTAGAACAGAGGTGGATAAATTCTTTTAGCACACAAAATCAAGGTTTCAAAGATCTCAGGATGTTCCACTGTTCTTTGCAGCCAATAATTCTCATTTGAAGGGTGGTAATTGTTGTATTGTCAGAACCAGTGCAAAAGACATGGCTGAAGCTTTCGCCACAACCTTCAGCCGGATGTGCCAATTGGATGATTCGTCTTGGCCTCTTCCACAGGACCTAGCATTACAATGATGCCAGTGATCCCAGCAAGAAAGTCTTTAGTCAATTCGATTATCTTCACATGATATCAACAAATTGTTGGAGGTACTGGATACTGCAAAGACTATGGGCCCTGACAACATTCCAACAATAGTAATGAAGACTTGTGCTCTATAACTGGCTATGCCCTTCACCAAGTTGTTCCTGAACATCTACAACAGGGGGCATCTACCAGTCAATGTGGAAAATTATCCAAGTATGTTTTGTTCACAAAAGTGCAGGACAAATCCAATGCAGCCAATTACTGCCCTATTTTGATCATCCACAAAGTAATGGAAGGAGTCATCAAGCAGTACTTGCAAAGGAATAATCTGATCACTGACTCTTAGTTTGGGTTCTTTCAGGGATACTGAGCTCCTGATCTCATTACATCCTTTGTCCAAACATGGACCAAAGAGCTAAGCTCTGCAGGTGAGGTGAGAGGGACTGCATTTGGTATCAAGACAGCATTATTGATTAGAGATAACAAGGTGTAGAGCTGGATGAACACAGCAGGCCAAGCAGCATCAAAGGAGCAGGAAAGCTAACGTTTCGGCCCTAGACCCTTCTTCAGAAAAAGGGTCTAGGCCCAAAACATCAGCTTTCCTGCTCCTCTGATGCTGCTTGGTCTGCTGTGTTCATCCAGCTCTACACCTTGTTATCTCAGATTCTCCAGCATCTGCAGTTCCTACTATCTCTGAAGCATTATTGATTGATTGATTATTTCATCAATGAGCCCTAGCCTATCTGGAATCAATGGGAAGCATGAAGAAAACATTCTGCTGCTTGAAATCATAACTCACACAAAGGAAGATGGTTATGGTTTTCGGATGTTACATGTCTAGGCCAAAGACATCTCTGCACAACTTCCTTCTGGACCCTTATATCTTCAGTTCGTTCACCAATGAATTTCCCTCCAAAATAAGATCAGAACTGGGAATGTTTGCTGTTGATTGCAAGTGGTCAGCACCTCATGGCACCTCAACTACTAAATCAGCCTACATTCATAAGCAGCAAAACCAGAGGGTTTGGGCGGAAAATGGCAAGTAACATTCGTGTTAGATATATGCCAAGCAATGACCATCTTCAGCAAAAGACAAACTAACCATCAGCCCTTGGCATTCAGGGACTAGCACTATCAAATAATCACCAGCTATCAATTGCTGGGGATTGCCACTGACTGGCTCGCAGGCATCACACTATATTAGGACAGTCATTAGGTTATCATTGAACATTTAATCAGAGTCTTGAGCCATTAAACAATAAGCAGGAAGTTTTACTTTAGAATGTCCACATTCTGTAGGGTCTGTAGAATAGTCAACAAATGCTATAGAGCTTTGATCTTCAAAGTGATCCCACTTTACAGAATTTAGAAGCCATGGCAGAGATGCGTTGAAGTATAAAGAGACAGAAACGTCTGGGGGAATATCTGTGCAGCAAGGTCGGCTGGCATAAATACAGTACCTCCTTGGTCTTTCAGAAAGGAATGACCAATCATGCTTGGGATAATTTAGCTCATGGCAACATATATTTGCTCATTTTCTTTGGCACATAATTATAACATTAGATGTGTCAGTTAACAATACAATTTCCTGGCCAACCTGCTGAAATTGCAAAAATATATTAACCTTCAGTGTGCTCTGAACCCAAGCCTCCTAGTCTAGAGGGAGGAACATTACCACTGTGCCACAGTGTGTCTTAATTCAGGCATTTTATTCTCATAATGAAGCAGCAGTTTCCAGAAGCAGACCTTTATCTCCCTTATACAGAACATTGTTAGAATTAAATGCTACAGAACTAACAATTCCCCTTTTGCCACAAATTGTATGGTTGATCATCATGCAATCCTGTTCATTTAGAAAATACCATGCTGCTAGACAATATTATTTAGGCCAAAGTAAATAGTTCAATATATTTACGAAAGAAACAATAGCTAGATCCAAGCAAAATATATTAATGTGTATCATTGCAATGTTTGAGATATTCCACTACACAAAGGGTCTTTTTGGAAACATGCATCTGCAGTTATTTATTACAAAGACAGCTAAATAAGAAACCTACGTGTATGCTGATAGAAGAATTCCATATGTAGTTGATTTAAGATCTGAGATCCATTTCAAATAGAAGAAAAGATCCGTTTACTTTAGTTAAAATTTCCAGATAATCGTAGTTATTAAAAAACATAATAAGTATTAAAGAGATTCCACTAACTTCCTATGGACTGACAGACTGGAGAGTTTGAGTTACAACAAGAGGCTGGATAGGCTCAGACATTTTACTCTGGCGTGTCAGAGGCTGAGGGGTAATCTTATAGAGGTTTATAAAACCATGAGGGGCAAGGATAGGGTGAACAGCCAAGGTCTTTTTCCCAGGGTAGGGGAGTCCAAACTAAAGGGCATTGGATTAAGGTGAAAGGGGAATGATTTAAAAGAGACCTGAAGCGAAGCTTTTTCACACAGTGTCAGAGTCATAGCATGAAAACAGACCCTTTCGTCCTAACAGTCCATGCCATCCATGTCCCAAACTAAACTATTCCAACTTGCTTGCATTTGTCCCATATCTCTCCAAACCTTTCCCATTCATGTACTTATCCAAATGTCTTTTAAACGTTATGACTGAACTACATACACCACCTCCTCTGGCAGTTTATTCCACACACTAACCACTCTCTGTGAAAAGGTTGCACCTCCATGTTCTTTTCAAATCTTTCTCCTCTCACATTAAAAATATGCCCCCTTGTTCTGAACTCTCCCACTCTAGGGAAAAGACCCTTGCTTTTCACCTTATCCACGCCCCTCATGATTTTATAAACCTCGATAAGATCACCCCTCAACCTCCTATGCTCCAATGAAAGAAGTCCCAGCCTATACAACCTCTGTTTATAATTCAAACCGTCTATTCTCAGCAACATACTATTAAATCTTTTTTGATCCCTCTCCAATTTAATAATATCCTTCTGATAGCAGGGCAACCAAAACTATACACAGTACTCTCGACGAGGCCTCACAAACATCCCTTTCAACCTCAATATGACGTCCTAACTCCTATACTCAAAGATCCGAGTAATGAAGGCAAGCATGCAAAACACCTTCTTAATCACCCTGCATCCATTTGATGCAAATTTCAAAGAATTGCGTAGCTGAACCCCTAGATCTCTTTGTTCTACAACACCGCCCAGGGTCTTCCTATTAATTGTATGTCCTGTCCTTGTTTTACCAAAGTGCAATACCTCACATTTATCCAAATTAAACTTCAGAGGGTGGTGCATGTATGAAATGAACTGCCAGAGGAAGTGGTAGAGGTGAGTGTAATTACACCATTTAAAAAATTGGGTGCATAGGTAATTAATAATATGATTGGTCTGTAATTGCTAACGGTGGAACAAGATAAATATGTCTTGCCTTTGTTTAGGGAAGAGGCTCCTGGACCCCCAGAGGTTTCTTCCCACTAATGTAACATCAATAAATTTTTTGATGCTGGAAATGGACTCCAGGTGTTGAGTAATTACTTTAGTCATTCTGCCCCAACAAAGACAAATACAAAATACTTGTACAGAGTCTCTGTCATTTTCTTTTTGCACATTATTAATTCTCCAGTTTTATCCTCTAAGGAATATTTACTTTAGTTACTTTTGTTTTTTTAATACCGGTAGAAACTCTTACTGCCTGTTTTTATTAATTTCTCCTTTATTATTATTTTGGTTTCTAAATATTTTAAAATTTTCCAGTCTCTCATTGTATTATGAGATTACAGGCATTGTCACATATATGGATGACAATGAAAGTGGAAAATAAATTACAAAGCTGAGAGTAAATGAATTGTAATAATAGGGAAGTAAATGTGAGGTGAGAAACCAGAAAATTATAAAAGTTTAGTTGCCATAAAAGGATGACCAAACAATAATAAAGCTGGAAAAAATAATTCTGATGAAGAGGCACCATATTTAAACGCTAACTCTGCTTTCTTCCCACAGATGTTGCTTCCCATAGACCTATTGAATTTATCCAGCAACATTTGTTATTATTTAGAAAAATCAAAGTAGTAAGAAATATGAAAATATGGAAGAAGAGCATCTGTCGTGTTAAAAAAAGAAGAGACAGAGATAAATGGGTGATAATGATTGGGGTGAATGGTTTTGAATGTGAGGGGCAAATAGATTGCAATGATATGGATAAAACTAACATTGCAACGTTGGTGAGTCAGAATCGGAGTGTACTTTAGGACAGTCTGTTGCCCCATTTCTCTGGAGGTTGTAGAAGTGTTTCCCCGATCAACCTGTTTAGCGATGTTACTACGTAGCTCTAGAGTAGGTGGGTGTTGAACCCGGGTCCCCTGGTCCAGAGGTAGGGGCAATGCTACTGCAAGAGAAGAGCTCTTGTGCGGAGGGCATGGTTAAAAAAAATTAACCAAATTTTTCCAATGAATCTGTTCAGAGATGCTACTACACACCTCTGAAGCAGGTGGGACTTGACCCCATAACCTCCGGGTGCAGGGGTTGGGACCCTAACTGTGCCACGGATTGCACTGTATCCCTGAAAACAGCTGGACAACTTTGGTGCTGCTGCGCAGGCGCGGGGAGGAGGACCGGCGGGTGGGTCACGTGACCCACGGCCCGCTCCGATCACGTGACCGCAGCCGCTTTGTTACACTGAGACCGGGCCCGGGGCTCCATGATGCTGATGATGATGATGGATTACCGGCCTGGCTTTCCCGCAATCGCTTCAGACGACGACGGCGACGAGGAGGAGGAAGAGGAGGAGGAGGGCGGACAGCGACATAAACTCCTCCCCAACATGGCTTGTCCGAGTCAGGTACTGTCCATCAGCAGGGCTGACCATCTTGTCACTGACCCCAGGAGCTAGTTGCACATTAACGTCATTCACCCTGCAGCAAAAAAAAAGCCTCCCCCTGTCCTTCCCCAGTGTCTCGATCCTCCGTACGGCTGTAGGATTATCCCTGGTCAACCTCCACCGATGTTCCCTTTTCGAATGCGTTGTACTGTCTCTGGTGCCAGAGCAAGAGAACAGATCATACTGGGAACAGGACCCCAGTCAGAAGTTGTTGAAAACTGTGACAACGCATCAAAGAATCGCAAAACTTTACATAGAACTGTGTGTGTTTTTCGGGGGGGGGGGTGTGGGGGGAAGGATAAAGCTTAGAGTTACATAGTTTCAGGAGCTATGGAGGAAAGAACAGTGAAGATTAGAGCCTCAACCATTCTTTACTTCCATTCATTACTGTATGTAGAAGCTGGATGATAACACAAGTAGAATTTGTGGCCAGAGAAGTGATACAGTAGGATGAAACTCTGATTCATAGGTTGTCCCTGAATAGGGCTGGAACAAATATCCTTGTGGGATGCTTAATTGGAGTTAAGGGGAATGCTTAAACTAATATCCAGTGGATATTGATCTAGCAGGTATATGGAGAACCATACAGGATGGGTGGGAACTGAACTAGGAATAATAGAGGAGGAATTAGATTTTTTTTAATGTAGAACTGATAACATAGTATTAGAATGCAGATGTTAATGACTGCAGGTCTTGTTCATATTTCCTGAAATATTACCTGAGGTAATATTTTTTGATGTGGAGATATTTCCCCTGACTTTTTTGTTCTTGGAATGTAGGTATCACTGGCTGGGCTAGCATTTAATACCCATCCCTAATTTGCCTTGAAGTAATCACAATGTTAGGAACAGATATTGGATCAGACAACATAGAATCTGTGAGTAAAATTGAGATATACAAAGGGACAAAAACCATTTGTGAAGGTAGTATGTAGACGATCAAACTGTAGTGGTGATGTTGGGACTGATGATGTGGAGGTGCTGGTGTTGGACTGGGATGGACAAAGCCAGAAGTCACAGGACACCAGGTTATAGGCATGAGCTTTTGGAGTGCTGCACCTTTGTCGGGTGAAGTGATGAATGAGCACATCACCTGACAAAGGAGCAGCGCTCCGAAAGCTTTTGATTTCAAATAAACTAGTTAGACTATAACCTGGTGTTATGTGACTTCTGACAATGTTGGGAATGGCATCAAACCAGAATTCAGATGTATACGGTAATTATGAGTGGCTTTCGTCTACATATAGATTGGATGAATCAAATTAGTCGCAATACTGTAGAGGAGGAATTCCTAGACTGCATATGGGATGGTTTTCTGGACCAGTACATTGAGGAGCCAACTTGAGGACAGACTATCTTAGACTGGGTATTATGCCAATGAGAAAGGAATAATTGTCAGTGGAGTTGAGAAACTCCTTGGGGATGGGTGACTGTAACATGATAGAATTCCTCATCAAGATGGAGAGTGTGGTAGTTGATTCTGAGACTGGAGTCCTGAATCGTCATCAGGGAAAGTATGATGGTGTGAGGTGTCAGGCAGCTATGCTGGAATGGGAAATGTCACTGAAAGCAATGACAATGGATAGGCAATGGCAAACATTCAAAGATTAAATGTGTAAACTACAAAAATTGTCTATTCCACTCTGGCACAGAAATGCAAAGAGAACAGTGACCAAACCATCTAACATGCAGCTCTGAAAAATTTACTTACATTTTGACAACTGAGACAAATTCCAGCACAGCTGCTGAAGCAGTCCACAATATAGAAACATAGAAGATAGGAGCAGGAGGAGGCCATTTGGCCTTTTGAGCCTGCTCCGCCATTCTTCATGATCATGGCTGATCGTCCAACTCAATGGCCTAATCCTGCTTTCTCCCCATAAACTTCGATCCCATTCGCCCCAAGTGCTATATCAGTTGCCTCTTGAATACATTCAAAGTTTTGGCATCAACTACTTCCTGTGGTAATGAATTCTACTGCCTCACCACTCTTTGGGTGAAGAAATGTCTCCTCATCTCTGCCCTAAATGGTCTGTCCCGAATCCCCATACTGTGACCCCTGGTTCTGGACACACCCACCATCGGGAATATCCTCCCTGCATCTACCCTGTCCACTCCTGTTAGAATTTTATAAGTCTCTATGAGATTCCCCCTCTCATTCGTCTGAACTCAAGCAAAAACATTCCCAACCTAGTCAATCTCTCCTCATACATCAGACCCGCCATCCCCGGAATTAACCTGGTAAACCTTTGTGCACTCCCTCGAGAACAAGAGCACCCTTCCTCAGTAAAGGAGACCAAAACTGCATACAATATTCCAGGTGTGGTTTCACCAAGGCATGTGTAACTGCAACAACACATCCCTGCTCCTGTACTTGAAGCCTCTCACAATGAAGGTCAACATACCATTTGCCTTCTTTACCACCTGCTGCACCTGTATGCTTACCTTCAGTGACTGGTACACAAGGGTACCCAGGTCCCGCTGCACACCCCTCTCCCAATTTACAACCATTCGGGTAGTAATCTGCCGCCTTGTTTTTCTTTCTGTAGTGAATAACCTCACGTTTATCCAAATTATACTGCATCTGCCATTGATTTTCCCACTCACCCAACCTGTCGAGATCCTGCATCCTCGTCACAGTTCACCCTCCCACCCAACTCGGTATCATCTGCAAACTTGGAGATGTTACATTTTGTTCCCTTATCCAAATCATAAATAATATTGTGAATAGCTGGGGTAACACCGATCCCTGTGGCGCCCCACTAGTTACTGCCTGCCGGTTTGAAAAGGACCCATTAATTCCTACTCTTTGTTTCCTCTCTGCCAACCAGTTTCCTATTCATGTGAATGTACTTCCCTCAATCCCATGCGGTTCAATCTTGTGCATTAATCTCTTATTCTAACTAAAGTACCCCACAACATTCTTAAATGTCATTTCACCTTTTTTTTTAAACTTGATGGATTGTTTTGGAAAACACTGTTCAAGATCCAAATTCATATCTTTGTTAAAAATGAATTACCTGTTCCTTGGATCTTACCCTTTCTGTGTATCAAGTTTTGTTGACCATTAATTTTTGTGCTGTACTGTTCACAGGTTAATAAATGGGCATAATCATTACTTCTACCCATCTTCTGCAGTGAAGGCAAAAAAGAAGGCACATGACAAGCTAGCGTTTATTGAAAAGGGATAAAAATAAGAAAATTTTGCTATAATTGTAGCAGACTTTGTGCAACATCTCGACTGCTATGTGTAGTTTTGGTACCTGCATTTTAGGAAGGAAATACATACATTGGAGATGATACAGTGAGAGTTCATTAGATAGATTTACCCTACATTCATAGGAACCAGTGATGAGAAGCTGAGCAAATTGGGTCTATATTAACCGGAGTATAAAATAATAAGAGGTAAAATGTACAATGTTTCGAAGGGGCTTGATTGGGTAGATACTACTAGGTTGTTTCTGGAGATCAAAAATACTGAAGCACAATTCTCTGAGGCAAGTACGATTTGCGCCACACAAATGCCAGACTATGACCATCACTAATAAGAGACAATCCAAGCACCGCCCTTGACATTCAATGGTGTTACAATCAATGAATCTCCCGCTGTCAACATTCTGGAAATTCAACTGGACTCACCACGTAAACATAGTGGCTACAAGAGGTCAGAGGCTATTATGGCGAGTAACTCACCTCCTGACTCCTCAAAGCCTGTCCATCATCTGGAAGGCACAAATTAGGAGTGTGCTGGAATACTCCCCACTTGCCTGGATGAGTACAGCCCTGACAACCCTCAAGAAGCTTAACACCATCCAGGACAAAGCAGCCTCCTTGACTGGCACAACATCCACAAGTATCCAATCTCTCCACCACTGACACTCAGTAGCAACAGTGCACATTATCTGCAAGATGCACTGCAAAAATTCACCAAACATCTTAGACAGCACCTTCCAGACCCACGACCACTTCCATCTAGAAGGACCAGGGCAGCAAATATATGGGAACACCACCACCTTCAAGTTCCCCTCCAAGCCACTCGCCATCATGACTTGGAAATATATTGCCGCCCCTTCACTGTCACTGGGTCAAAATCCTGGAATTCCCTCCTTAACAGCATTGTGGGTCAACACACAGCAGGTGGACTGCAGCGGTTCAAGAAGACAGCTCACCACCACCTTCTCAAGGGCAGCTAGGGATGGGCAATAAACGCTGGCCAGCCAGCAACGCCCACATCCCACAAAATGAATAGATTTTTAAAAAAACTATGGTTTTGATTCTTAAAAAGCCCTCCAAAATTGGTTTAGTATGTCAACTGTATCCAGATCAGCGCTTCCTCCACATGCTCACTCTCACAGCAAATGTGATGGATTGGTCCTGGAATATTACAGTATGGATATTTCCCCACTTCTGTTTGGAATGTTGCTAAAATTCAAGCCAAAAAATGCTTTTCAAGAACATATCACCCCTTGAGCCTATTCTGTCACTTCAGATTGTGGCCACATGTTATCCTCAATTGTAATTTCTGCCCAATACCCATATCCTTTCATTTCCTTTGTGGCCAAAAATTTATTGACTGCAGCTCCAAATGCAATAAATGATTGTGTATCCACACTCACCTGAGATAGAGAATTCCATAGATTTTCAATTCTCCCAAGTGGCTGATATAGTCAGACTAAGATCTCTAATTTTAGAGTCATTTTTGTGACTTTACTGAGTATAATGTGCCAATAATTATGCCTCACTGTTCAACAAAATGTGTAAGTGTATAAAACTCCCAATCAGTTCACCAAAACCCAGTTCGCCTGCTATCCGGATCAAAACAAATTAACACCAGGTTGTGTCCATAATGGTAAAGATAACTATATGCTAATATTTAACCTCAACAGTGACAGTTTAAAAAAAAAATCTAGTTTATGCAACTTGAACTATACCCTTTTCAAAACCCAAACATACATACAGTTGCAGTTTAAGAAGGATGAATTGTTTAACACACATACCATGGCTGGAATGGAATGTAGAGAGGATAAACAAAATTCCGTAGATCAAAAGTACAGACCATGAGGTGGGAAGTCTCTTTTTATTCCTCGCTCAGTCCTCTTGATTTTTAAAAATGGTACTGTGCTGTTGTCTATACACTGATGGTCTTTAATTCGACAGTTAATTAGGTGAACTTGGATCTTTACTTTCGTAAATTCGTTCCTTTAGTCCTTCTCTTTTGCCCCCAGGTGAAGAGAGGGGGTTGTCATCTGCCTGCTGGCTCTGGATGATTTTTCACTCTTGTGCTGTTCTTGGCACTTGGAACTTTTTATTACAACAGTTCAACAAACAGAGTTGTTGCCAGGCAGAATTTCCTGAACTGGAAAGATTCTTGGTGCTGTTTGGTCTCAACCTCAATTTTTTGCTTTGCAAACGCAATATTGTACTGCAGAACTCAACAATATCCTGCACTTGATTTTCAAGTTGTAAACAACTTTCCAGGTATTTTAGTTGTAGTAGTCCAATTTCCATTTCGGTTTAAAGTTTCAGCATGTGCCCTGTCAAGCCCTCTTGGAATATTGGGTTTCAATGTAATCGCCTTTTATTATTCCTAACCTCAGAGAGAGTAGGCCTATTCTTAACATCAGAGAGAGTGGGCCTATATTTGTCATAGGATAATCCCCTCAATCCCCAGAATGAATGTAGTGAGCTTTCATTGCTTTAAGGGTAAACAAAAGCCTTTCTGCCCTTGTGTACAGAGACTAAAACTTGCAGTCAGCCTCACCAAAGCTCTGCCACATTTCAAGGCTTTCTTTGCCACAGTCCAATCCTTTGCCATAAAACCAACATGCATTTGCATTCCTCATTAGATGCTGTCGCTGTATATTAAATTTCTGGTTCATGTGCAAGGATGGCATTTGATTTTTCTTTTCTCTCTCTTTCTAAAAACGGCTCAAAGCTGGAAGTTCGTTGTAGTGCAGGCACTGCAGTTGTGTTCTGTTCACGAATCTCCCTGCTACTGCAGTTATGAGACACTACCTGCGATGCCATCTTTATCGAACTTTATTAATAGAAGTCTTTGTTTTTAATCAACTTACTTTTCATGTTTTTAACTAATGTGATCTAGTTTGAGTCCGGTTAAATTGAATATTTACTTGTAGCATGGCCTACTGCCAAGCCTTGTGCTCTGTCTTCCAAGTCCAGACTGCTTTTTTTTCTGGGACCCTGCACTTGGTACTGGTTTTTGAGTGGATCGGTGTAAGGTCTAATTCAGCATTGTATTTAATTTTGCTTGCAAAGGATTGTCAGTTTGACTGTGACAGTGCACTCTATGTCTCCCTAACTCAAAAATTAGAATGACATTTGCAGTGTATGTAATCTGAAACTTAAAGGAATGTGAGACTACTTTAAATATGCACCTTGCCCAACTTTTTATTTCTAGCTAAAAATGAAGTCCAGGCATGCAGTGCAGTGCATCAGTGATGTCAGCATGATATGCAGTATGTTGCGTGTAAACTGAATGTTTGATCAGATTTCTGGTTATGAAAATGATAGACATTGAAGTACTTTAGTCAGTTGACTGCTTCTTACTGCAACAGCCCAAACTGAACCAAAAGTGACAGAAAAGTTGAAAACCCTCTTAATAATTTGCAAAAAGCAGAGCATTGGATCAGATTTTTAAAAAAAAAAATTCAATGAAAGAGCTAATGATATGGGGTGTGGTGTTTGCTGTAATGACCTTTAGTTTTGCAGAGGTGCTTCTGTGGCATGCGTTGGTGTGCATGTTATGTTTTCTGTCGATGTAGGGGGTGAGGGAAGTACATTATCACTGACAAAAACAAAACACTCTTAAAGTTCTTCCTTTTTCCCAAAATATTATGAGTGATGGAACAATTGGATCTTTCATCCCTTTGATTTTTGTTCAGTAATAGTATTAAGGGATAAGGAGCAAAGTTGCAGATCAGCCTTGATCTAATGGAATGGCAGAACAGATTGGAGGGCTGACTGGCATACTTCTGTCCCTAGATTTCAAACTGTGGGGTCTTCTGACTGTACAGTGACTACAGAATTACAGTTGCCATGACTTAGCAGGTGCCTTGGTTTCACAAGGTTAGCGATAAAATTTTATGCACCACCCTCTTTTAGAGACACCAACAGAATGTGGAAAGAGCTGACATTTCATTGCAGCACTGATGGGGAAACCATAAAGTTTTTAAGAATGTTTTCCTTTTGGATAAGATAATAAAGGAGGCTCTGTCTGCCACTCCTGTGAGCATGAAAGACTCCATAGTATTGTTTGAAAAAGAACAGGATGTTAAGGAGAAACTTCTTTAGCCAGAGTGTGGTGAACCTATGGAATTCACTGCCACAGAATGCTATGGAGGCCAGGTCATTGAGTATATTTAAGATGGAGATAGATAGGTTCCTGATTGTCAAAGGGATCAAGGATTACAGGGAGAAAGCAGGTTAATGGGATTGAGAAACTTATCAGCCATGATTGAATGGCAGAGCAGACTCGATGGGCTGAATGGCCTAATTTCTGCTCCTGTGTTTTATGGTCTTATGTCTTATCAGTTTCTTGGTGTCCTTTGACTAATACCAGTGAAGTAATTATATTGTTATTGCTGTTTGTGGGGATCTTCAGTGTAAAGTGTTTCCTTCTTTGCAGTAACTACATTTCAGAAGTATTTAATTAACTGTATAACATTTTGGGACATCCTGAAGTTGTTTTTGATACAAGGTATGGCGGATTAAGATTGTCCACATTCCATGCTGCAAAATTTTTATATGGTCCTGTGTTGTTCAGTTTAAATAATTTGCAGTCTTTTGATGCTTGTTAATCTGCTGCGTATGTATTCCTAGGTTTGCATGAGTGGAGTAGATAGTGTTTGTCACACGCAGCAGGAATTGGTGAAGAAGACAATGGAATGTGGCTGGAGGCTTGCTGAAGCTCAGCAGAGACTTTGTGATTTGGAGCTGCACAATTCTGAGTCTTTGGAACAAGAACGGGCCAAAGCGCAGGTTGAATTCTGGGAGTTGAAGCAAAAAGAAGATGAATGGAGGCAAAAGGAGGAAGAGCTGACCTGGAATGAGAGGCTAAGTTCATGGAACATTGATACAGACAGTAGGGAAGGTTTTAATAAGGTACAGTATATATTTCCAACTCTTAATCGGAGTAAAGGGAGCATGAGAGCAATGTGATTATGTTGCTAAAAATCTAGAGAATTTTAATTCAAAACCACCATTGCAGCTTGAGAACTTGCATGTGGTATCTTTATTTCTTTTTTCTAATAAACTATGAAGCTGTAAAACACAAGTTTAAGTAGACTGATTCTGCAATTCAAGGTAGACTTTCTGTCAGTGGTGTTGTTAATTAAAACTCCTGAACAGTAAATAGCATTTGATTTTCTAAAATCAAATTAGTTTTGTGATTTGAGACCTAAGATGCAAACAGACAGCAGAGCAAACCACAATGGGAATCATTCTGCCAACTGTTAGTAGGTATAACAAGGTGTAGAGCTGGATGAGAAAAATCATTTTTCTGAAGAAGGGTCTAGGCCCGAAACGTCAGCTTTCCTGCTCCTCTGATGCTGCTTGGCCTGCTGTGTTCATCCCACTCTACACCTTGTTATCTCGGATTCTCCAGCATCTGCAGTTCCTACTATCTCTGTTAGTAGATATACTTTTGTACCTAAAAGCTTGGCTGACAATTTAGACTGCTTCTGAGAGAGGGCTACATAGTTGAAGATATTGACTTTTAAATGGGTTATGAATTGTGGGACCACAGAATGGTAATTCCTAATCATGGACTCATTCCTATGCCTGTCACTAAGACCCTCTTCTTTCATTCTTTGGGAATGACAGTGGGAGGTTAAAAACTATGCCTAGAAGAATTTCTAGTTCCTCATTACTCTTAATGGTTCTTAATTCCTTCTGCTTTGTCCCATTATCTGCAATGTCTTTGTCTCATAGCGTCATAGAGCTGTACAGCATAGAATCAGACCCTTCGGTCCAACTCGTCCATGCCGACCAGATATCCTAAATTCATCTAGTCCCGTTTGCCAGCATTAGGCCCATAGCCCTCCAAACCCTTTCTATTCGTGTACCCATCCAGATGCCTTTTAAATGTTATAATTGTACCAGGCTTCACCACTTCGCCTGGCAGCTCATTCCATACACGCACCACCCTCTGTGTGGAAAAAGTTGCCCTTAGTTCCCTTTTAAATCTTTCCCCTCTCACCTTAAACTTATGTCCTCTAGTTTTGGACTCCCCTACCTTGGGGAAAAGACCTTGGCTGTTCACCCTATCCATGTCCCTCATGCTTTTATAAACCTCTATAAGGTCATCCCTCAGCCTCCGACACTCCAGGAAAAATAGCCCCAGCCTAGTCAACCTTTTCCCTATGGCCCAAACCCTCCGACCATGGCAACATCCTTGTAAATCTTTTCTGAACCCTTTCAGATTTCACATCTTTCCAATGGCAGGGAGACTAGAATTGAGCACAGTAATCCAAAAGTGACCTAACCAATGTACTTACAGCCACAACATGACCTTCCAGCTCCTATACTGAATGCATTGAGCAATAAAGGCAAGTATAGCAAACGCAGCCTTCACTATCCTGTCCACCTGCAACTCCACTTTCAAGGAACTATGAACCTGCACTCCAAAGTCTCTTCTAGAGGTTTAGTTTTTTCTTTCTTAGTTTGATTTGCTTTTTACAGAGTGTGATCAACAAAAAGTGTAAAGAAGCAGAGGAAGATGGAAAAAATGTAACTTTTGTACAGAGATATCACCAGCAGATCAGGCACTTTGGTAAGTAAACAGCTCTTTAGCTGTTGAAGTGCACAGTGAGTACTCTCAATGTACATTTGTAAAATAACCAATTCTTACCAAAGCGAACTAGGAATTGCACGGTGTACCTTCCCAAAAAGACACTGGCAACACGTGCACACCACATGTTGCGCAATCTCTGTTATGAAGGTGAATTTTTAATGTAAAAGAAACAAGTAATTCAGTGAATAGCTATACTGATATCAATGATTTGCCAGATGAGCTCATGGAAATACTGATTTCTTTGCAAATTTGAAAAGATATCTAAGTCAATTCATCTGTCAATGAAAATACTAATTAACTGTTCTGAACTGTGCAGTGAGAATTTGAATCTCCCTTCCATCCTTGAATATTAAATAGGTAATAAATTAGTGAAATTATGTATTTTGCTTTTAGACATTTTAAAAATAGTTGCACTTCGTTCTGGAATAGTAAGGTTTGTATTTGCTGTATTCCCTGTTCACTGCCATGTCAATTTTAAATTGCTAAAATCCACACAAGGCCTTTCCTTTTCCCTTTTCTGTAACCACCTCCAGCCCTACAACTCTCCAATAAGTCTGTGGTTCCCAAGCTCTGATGTCTTCTGCATGTTTGACTTGCTTTCCTCCACCTTAGTGATCAGCCTTCAGGCATTCATGCCTTGAGCTCCTTCACAAACCACCATCTCATCTCTCCTCTCCACTTCTGCTTTACTTTAAGACTTTCCGTTAAACCTACCTCTTTGACCAAACGTTTGATTTGCTTGCCAGCTGAAAGGTTGCATCTTATTCATTGTTATCAGAGATTTCTCTCTCCTACTGCCTAACCTTCCACAACACACAATCATTTAAGTGCACTTATGCCTATTGTGTAAAACTAGCTTAACTGTGAATTGTTAATGATCTTAACGACAACTTCAGCGCATAGAATTATGAATCAAGTTACTAAACATGATCCAGAGACCTCGCCTAAGAACCCAGAGCATTTTGACCATGTACATTCTGTTTATAAACAATAAATTAACAATTTAAAACATTGATATCGTTAAAACAGTAAGCAGGGAATTAAATGACTGTCCTTCCTTTTCATGGTACTGCCTCCTAAAGTGAGCTAGAAAGCCACTGATTTTGTTGGACAATGTTGGCTGTGCCCGTACTATAATGGGGAATGAATGTGTTACTGATGATCTTAATGATGATCTTAATGCTAGTCTGATGGAAGCAGAGGGAGACAGGGGATCACAACATGAAGAGAAATACTACTGGAGAGCTGTATTTAGAACAATGTTTATCAGTGTAAATAAAGCACTTACTGTATAACTCAGTGTAATTCTCCATCATGTTCAGTAAAAAGCAGGCTAAAGATGAAAGGGACTTAAAACAGTAGTAGACTAGCCAGACAAGGCTGCCTCTAAGAATGGAATACATATACCCAAAACTGATAGAATCCATGAAGAAACAAACATGCAGCCTTTAGCCTATGAAAGAAGCCATCCAAATATAAACTGTAGCAGTCCATAACATGGTTACAACAGAGTACTCTCAAAGCAGTACAATTTTCTCGGGAATATTCAGCATTTAGGAAATGAAACAATTATGTTTAAACTGGCACACTGCATTATTTAGATTAATTCAATTGGCTATGAAATCTGTTTAACTACGCTTCCATTTCCCAACTACTGTGTAATAATGGAATGGGCAGGATTTCTTACTGCAAAATAAACATTTAGTTTATGTTGTGTCATAGTTTTTGAAGTTTGAGAAACTGTTCAGTGAAGTTTCCCACTTCCTCTGTCATTGCAGGCATGTTGAAACGATGGGTCGATAGTCAGAGATATTTATCGGATTATCCTCACCTCATTTGTCAAGATACTGCTAATTACCTAATAAACTGGTGTTTTAATTTGAAGAAGGAAGAGGTAAGCCAAAACCAAAAAATAATTTTAGCAAGAGATAGTAAGAACTGCCGATGCTGGAGAATCTGAGATAACAAGGTGTAGAGCTGGATGAACACAGCAGGCCAAGCAGCATCAGAGGAGCAGGAAAGCTGACGTTTCGGGTCGAGACCTTTCTTCAGAATTTTAGCAATGTAGGTTTAATCCACACTAATTGTTAGTATCCCTGGGCTTTGCTTATTTTTCTACTGTGTAAGTTGGTGATTGATATTCAGCTGAACAGTCTTGAAACAATGAAACAAAATAAATTTTGCAAACATTATAGAAATAAAATGAAAACAGAAAATGTTGGAAGTATTCAGGAAAGCCCAAAGTACTTCTTGGGGTAGAAATGTTTAATTATTTTTCATTGAATAGTCCAGGCACCCTCTTTATAAGACCATAAGAAATAGGAACAGGAGTAGGCCATTCAGCCCCTCAAGCCTGCTCCACCATTCAATAGATCATGGCTGATCCAATATTCCTTGTGTCTGTTTTCCTGCATTTTCCTCATAACCCTTGATTCCATTACTGATCAAGAATCTATCTACCTCAGCCTTAAATATACACAAGGACTCTGCTCCCACAGCTCTCTGTAGCAAGGAGTTCCAAAAACACTCAACCCTCTGAGAGAAAAATTCCTCTTCATCTCATTCTTAAATTGGCACCTCTTAATTCTGAGCCTATGTTCTCTGGTTTTAGACTCCCCCATAGGGGAAAACATCCTCTCAGCATTTACCCTGTCAAGCCCCTTAATAATCCTATATGTTTCAATGAGATCATCTCTCATTCTTCTAAACCCCAGTGACTAGAATCCTAACCTGTTTAGCTTTAGCTCATAAGACAATCCCTCCACAGTAGGGATCATTCTAATGAACCTGTTGAGTGACACCCTGTCATAGAAGTAACATTTGAAAATTGCTCCATTATTTTGTTGAGGTGTAAGAAGGCAACTTAAGTGCGCTCAACTGCATTATAATCCAGTAACTGTTTGTTGTAGTACAACTGAAATCAATTCCAAACGTGCCCAATTCTCCAGTAGTATTCAACGCTAGGTTTTAAAAATGTTTTGAAGTAATTTAAATTGTACAGCTATATTGAGCTTTTTATGAATGGTGAGCATTTGATATCCATTCTGCAAGGCTGATTATTGATCATATGGTTGAGTATGGGTGAAGTGTTATAATACATTTTGATCTATGACAACCAACCTGTCTTAAACTTAATATTAAATATAAGTTCAGGCAGACAGTACATCTGGTGTAAGTGTTATGGGAGCACCGATTTAAGGTTCTGCTTGACCTAGCTTGATTTTCTTTCAGTAACATTACAATATAAGTATCTTTATAGAGTCTCTTGTGAAATAATGATTCAAGCTTCACCTTTAAATGTTTTTGTTTCCAGTTCTCCCTGCTTCCTCTGAAGATTTCATAGAGTTTGATGTGACTAATTGAATATCATTGTGTTTTAATTTGCAAAATTGGGGTATTACATTTTATTTAATTATTAAAGGAAAAGGGCTAATTGTCAAATGAATGCTTTTGTCCCACAAAAACATAGTTGAGAACACCATCAGTGCTATCTTTGAGAGGTTGTGCAAGGTTATTTGATCTCGTAATGGATCAGAAAAGGAAATGCCACATTTTCTGTCATCACTAGCATTTCCTAACTATTGTGAAAAAGGGATTCGTAAAAAGGAGAAAAACTTTGTAATCTGTACAGTAAAATACAGTGAGATAGAGCTAAGGATTAGATTGATGAATTGGAATCTGATTAAAACCCAACAATTCAGGGTTAAAAAGAAGCTATGTTACAAGTTATTGTAAGTACTGGGTTTACTTGGATATATTTCACCAGAGTAACAGAACAAGGCCTTTGTTGATTAAGAATGTTGACCTAGTCAGAGCCCCAGAAGAGGAGAGGAATACAAATGGGACTTTGAGACTAATGAGGATTGTGTACAGAGACCAAACTCATGGCCAATACTGGGCACCACTGGAAGTATGTTTTCCTGGCAGCAAAAGGGTATGTGACATTGAGGTCTGAATGCAAGAAACACTTTATGTAAATGGAATGAAAAATGACAAATAATGCAGTGGTGCTTTTATCCTTGCACAGTGAAGTGCAGCATGTTTAACCCAAGCCTATGCTGCAGTGGTTTCATTCATCTGATGGCATTTATCATTTTGACTGGAAAGGAATGGACGGGTTTAACGTACAGCTTACCCTATGCCCTCCTCCAAAAAGAGAACTTGTTCACTGGAGCTCTCCTGTGACCTACTTCCTTGTTGTATTTACAGAAACAAGCACTGATGGAACAAGTGGCACACCAGGCTGTTGTGATGCAGTTCATTATAGAACTGGGCAGAAGTCTTCAGGAAGATCCTCGTGGCTGCTTCAGACAGTTTTTTGAGAAAGCAAAAGTAAGAATCTAAAAAAGAAGGGGGTGAGGGAAGAGCACAAGCTTCCATTTTAGAGCTCCCTCTCCACAAGTAGCGGTGATTCTCACCAAAATATCCATTCTGTGCCCTGTATATTAAAACTGGTGTATTAAGTTTCCATTAGTCTAAGTGTTACCTAACTGCTTTCTTCAATATGTAGTCCAGCTTTGCATCCTCCAAGCCTGTGGATGTGTGAAGAATCTACTTACTGAAAATTTTTCCATCCTTTCTTGCACTGTATCCTTTTATTGCTGGCGCTGACCAATAGAGAATTTCAGTGAGTTATGTGGGTAGCTCTGTCAAGGTTATATAGTGTTAATTCCTTTTGAATATAGAATCATAGAGGTCTACTGTGTAGAAAAGGGCACTTCAGGCCATCGAGCCTGCAAGTCAAAAACAACCACCTAACTATTCTAATCCCATTTTCCATCCATCACCTTGTACGCATTGGCATTGCAAGTTCATATCTAAATAAGACTTCAATGTTATGAGGGTTTCTGCATCTACCACTTTTACAGGCAGTCAGTTCCAGATTCCCACCACCCTCTTTTCTTTTTATTCCCCTCATGCCTTCAAAATGTAGTGATATAAATTGCAAGTACTTTGTGAGGAATGGACTTCATGAGCCAAATGGCCTTTCTTGGGTTTAAAGCTGTTGTGGCTTTTAGGCACCTATCATGCCTGTGTTGTTTCTTCGCGAACACAAATTAAATTTACTGCTACTATTAAGTCGTCTTGTATTTACTTGTGGCTTATCGATGCCTGCCTCAAGCTACTCTGTGTGGCAATTGTAGTTGTGATTGACTAGGACAGTAGTGAGCTTGTTCTCAAAATACTTAATCTGGTTCAGCTAAAGGTAAACTTGACATTACTTTTTCCGTTTCTCACTAACCCCCCTCCCCCTCCCCCTCCACGAAGATAGCTGAAGAAGGTTATATGGAAGCATTTAACACTGAACTAGCAGAGTTTATCCAACGGGTTCGTGAATTTGCAGAAACCAAGACTGCGGAAACAGTAGCAATACATAATGTGGCTCAGCACTTGAATCACCTGGATGTTCGTGGTATGCCTCCAATGGAAGTGTTTGAATCTTTACCACTGGTAAGCACCAGGCATGCTTTTTTCTAAAAATAAACTGTATACATTTTCCTGCATCCATTTGGATGCTGATTTGCACTGCAGCTCATGCTGGTAACGAAATTTAATATTAATGAACTATGTGTGATTTTTGCTTTTGTGAGTGAACAAATATATAATTGCTCAATTCAACAAACCAAATGTTCAGGGTTGCTGCATTCAAAATAAGTATTGTGGGCCATGTTGTTAAACTTGACAGGATCCAGAAAAGATTTACAAGGATGTCCAGGATTGGAGGGTTTGATCCACAGGTTGAATAGGCTGGGCCTTTTTTTCCTGGAGCATCGGAGGCTAAGGAGTGACATTATAGAGGTTCATAAAATCATGAGGGGCGTGGATAAGGTGAATAGATGAGGTCTTTTTTTTTCCACTGTAGGGGAGTCCAAAACTAGGATTGAGGTGAAAGGGGAAAGATTTCAGATTGAGGTGAAAGGGGAAAGATTTCAAAGGGAACCGAGGGGTGACTTCTTAACGCTGAGGATGGTGCAAGTATGGAATTTGCTCAGAGAGATGGTGGAGGCGGATACAATAGGCATCTGAATGGGTACTTAAAAAGGAAGGGTTTAGAGGGATATGGGCCAAGTGCTGGCAAATGGGACTAGATCAGTTTAGGATATCTGGTCGGCATGGAGGAGTTGGACCAAAAGGTCTGTTTCCATGCTGTACAGCTTCATAGCTCTATGTGGGCCTTTTTATTCAAACTTTGTTATCCAGCTTTCTCATTTATTTTATTTTCTTGCCTCCTCCTGCATTGTAAGGAACACACACACCTTCCCTTTGTACTTTCCTCATTGCCTCTAGTTTATCCTGTCTTGGTTAATAACTCAATTTTTTTTTGTGTACCATTCGGCTTCATTCATTATCTTCCTCCTCTTTTGCTGCCTGTAAAGCATTTCTTCCTGGGCAAGAATGAGTGGACATTAAACCATTTAATTTGATTATCCCTGTTATTTCCACATTCACTTTACATTTCCTGCACATTGCCAGAAAACTGTTACTTCAACGTTCACACTTTCTTCAAGCCTATCTTTCACACTATACTTTGTGCAGCTTTAATTCCTTGACAGGGAAATTGAACAGATCTAGGAAAAAACATTGTGCTTCCAATCAGTAACCCCACTGTCCCAAACTGTTGATGGTTGGGATTGCGTTGATCATCACTTTTTACAATTGTTTATTTCTGCCTTTTAGGAACTCAAGCAGTGTTTTCAGTTGCAAGATGTTCATGTCCTTCAGAACATGCTGAGCAACATGGACCCACAGGTATGTTTTAAGAATGTCCATTCTTTCAGCTTGATCAGAATTTATAAAATGTTATCTCTTATTTATGATTTAGCCTCCTGTCTGCTGCTGTTCATCTTAAAGGCTGTACTATTTCACACAAAGGTGAGGTTGAGTTGGCCCAGCTTGTAGCCTTTTTTTTTTTTTGTAAGAGAATTAGAAATTTGGATTCAGAATCTTTTGAATTCAAAGTAGTCTCATGTTTTGGCATCATCTCATTGGAGTAACTGGACTTTGGTGAATATCATTGGTGTCTGATCTCACCATGTATTGTCATAGATAGTCATAGAGTCAGACAGCATGGAAAAAGATCCTTCAGTCCAACTCATCCATTTGTTGATGGGGTACTAAATAGAAATTAGATGCTGCTCCTTCATTCTGTATCCTTGATTCCCAACTCCATTTCCGTAAGGGAGCGGAAATCAGAGGAGAGTTACGTTGTGTAATTTATGATGCAATTTGTGGAGCATTTACTGAAGAGGAGTAAAGATTTTCATTTATGCAGAGTCTTTCACACGGTAATGAGACAGCTTTGAAATGCAGTCACTGTTCAGAGGCAAATATAGCTGCCAGTATTTACATTATAAGATCTAACAAATGGTGCCTTTTTTTGGTTCTGGAAAGGTTGATTGAGGGATAAACAATGGCCAATAAACTGGATGTCTCCCCTGCTCAAGAGAAAATCCTATAGGATTTTTGACACCACATTGAACAGGCAAGAAAGAATTTTGGTTGAAGTTCATTCAATAAAACCTTGGACAGGCATACAACCATCGGTGTTTGCCAGCAGCCTAGTTTGCTTCTCACCTCTAACTTCAAAATCAATATTCATGTGGGACCTAAACTTTGATGTTGAAGAGCGTAAAATTCCTGTATTTTTTAAAAAATTTCATTCCACACAGTGATCACTTTGTCTTGATTTTCTATCACATCTTCTAGTTCTTTACCTTTATTGTAATGCCAACAACGTACGTTTATTGACAATGAGTTTAATTGCATTCCTGTCTACCATAGGTTGCTGAGCACTACTTGCAGCGCTGTATAGATGCAGGCTTAAGGATCTATAATACTAAAGAAGCCAAAGAAGAAAGAAATGAAGAACCTAAAATGGACATATCTTAACTGTTTGGCAATAACACTATTAGTTGATTGCATAAAAAATTTCACAACAGTGGAAGAAAAGCCTGTTTTTGTATGTAACCGTTGACTTGCCTGTGTGGATGCTGCACTTTATTTGTAAGGTTTGTTTAGAACAAAAAAATTGTATGATTTTGATGCATTCTAATGCTGGCTGTTCTGAAAAAGGATTTGCTAATCAACTTTTTTGTCTTTTCTCCATTACACACATTTCAAGATATCTTCTGGTTTAGTTTTGCAAAGAGTCACTCAAGATTGCACAGTGTATCTTGCTAGTGTGCATATTTTGTCCTTCTTTATTACTGTGGTGATTAGATGCATACAGGTATCTGCCAAGTTCCTGAAAACAGTGGCAGGCCAGTCAGAAAGATTTACTTAATTGCAAATCAAGTTTTTCACAAATAAAATGCAGAAAAGTGGGACGTGGGCTGGTGCCTTTAACTTTCACCACGCAGACAATTATTCCTCTCTTAATAACAACAAAGTTGAGCATGAAGCAGATTTTCCCCACTCAGACTGACATTGCCAGTATTGATAGAAAACACATCCCACGGTACCCTATCTGAAAAACAACTGGAAGTTGACAAACTGTGTAGACTGAAACACAGACTTTTCTTTATTTAAATCAAATCAATATTGCTAGGAAATGGGAGAAATGATTTCTCTTTAGTAAGAAGTTCAAAGGACCCAAGCTCTCTTATTTCAAAAGATACTGTTCGGTTGTTTAAAAAAAACTCTTTTCAATTGATGACCGAGCACAGATCTATTTCTTTAAGGGATCTTGTTTGAGCAGGTGTACCGTTGACTAATTCTTAAAAAGCTGACCAGATAGATGGTATTGATTTCAAAGTATGTGCAAAGAACTAATAGTGTTTCTTTTTTACGCACACATTATTTCAGCCTTATTAATGAAAACTGAATGTAGACGGAAATATGCAGAGGAGCGTAACTGTTTCGGTTATTTTTAAGTATGACAGCAGCAGAGATCATTTACACCTGTATACTAGAAAAGTGCACAGTTCATTGAATCAAAATCTATGTGACATAACAAAGAAATAACCAATTACAACGCAGCAAATCCTGGGACACATGTTTGCAGAAAGTTGATGATGCAACGGAGTATTTCAGCTGGTCTGTGCTGTCATAGTATTCTGACACAGCTGTCCATCTTCCTCAGCGTGGGTCTAAATTACTAGAGCACAGAAATTTGAGTAACCAGTGAGAAATTGGGATGCACTGACTTGGCTTTCCAATTAACCTGTTTTAAAAAATGAAACTTTTGGAGTACAGTAGGGTTGGTTTCTCAAAAGCAAAGTGAGGTCGATGTTGGAGATTTGAAATTAACACAAAGTAGTGGACCAACTCGGCAAGACTGGAAGTATATGTGGAGCAAGAAGCAGTTAACGTAGAGTTGAACAACACTTTCAGGAACCATTAGACTCAATGTTAACTCTATTTCTCTCTCCGCAGACCCCTCCGCAGTTACTCCAGCACTTTGTCTTAATTTGTTTTTCATGTTACCCGTGAAATTCTGTGTAGTTGGGATAGGAGTCCAAGAATTTACACAGGTTTTAGCAGACTTATGCAACTTGACTGACTTAAATTATGCTCAGTCACGAAAAATGACAATGCAGTTCATGAACAAATGTGCACATGCTCTGAAGAACAACTGGAAAAATTAAACTTGAATTGGAGTTCCACGGTGATAACAGTGCAATGTGATATGCGATTAAATGAACACTCTCGTGCTTGAGTGGGAGTTTGAAAACAGTTCTAAAAATCAGCTTTATTGTGAACTACCAGCCATCAATTTTATAGTGAGTTTCAAACATTGACAAAAAAAATTAGCGCAAATGCTGCAAATCAAAGAGAAACAAAATACTGGGAAATGCTCAGGTCAACCTGCATTTATTGAGAGAAAGTTAATTTTTCAGGCTAATGACCTTTCATCAGAACTTAATCTGGTCTAATCCTTTACCAGTTTGATGGTTTTCTCAATCCTGTATTAAGTAAGTCGTAACTACTGATTATTGAACTGTTTGTGGTCATTTAATGCCAACTCTTTCCATATAAATCATACAAGTAAACTGCACTTTTGATGAGTAAGAGTGCTCACCAAATTTTTGTACTAGTTTACTCTATGTAGATTTAAATAAAACCTCGTTAGCAATTGGTATTAAAACAAGAAGCATTTTTTTTTTTATGAGCTCCCTTCACCCACCACTGGTATTTCAAATTTTGAAAGTTTCAAATGAATGAGAGATGCTTTGGATCGATGAACTTAATTTAATAACAATGATATCTTTTCAGAAAATATATAAATGGCTGTAAATGCAGTTGAGTTACTTTGTTTTCTCATCAATATATTATTTGGAAATTAATTCAGAATGGTTTATGATCAAATGTTTAAGGGATGTATCCATAATATAAAGGAATGCTTTTTGGTTTGGTTTCAAATTGCAATTTTGCACAGTCACAAGTTTTGACTTGCTTATAGGCAAGTCTAAATTGAAACAAGCAAAATTTCAACATTAAATTGGTTCTAGTTGAATGTCAAGTTTACTTTAATTACAGTAGTTGTAATAAAATGGCTGCATTTTACATTTTTAGTAATAGTCTAATCCTTGCTGTATACAATGGGTGTGTTCATTTAGGGAGTAAAGTATTGTACATGGAGACACCTAATTTATTAAATAACACCTTCAGGAATCTTTATTACACTGGCTTGAGGTCAAGTTAAAAATACTAAAACTACACTTTAACCTGAAAAGGTGGTGTAGGAACACGACCATGACTGCACCTTCCTCACTCACAGTAACCACCATTTGAAGGGCACAAAAAGGAATCACAAAAGAAATCAATAAATTGAATTATATAGTGTGACCATCAGGTTGGTGGTAGTCTTTTGTCTTCCAATTCTTAAATGACATCTGACATGCTGAAGTAATAGGCTGTGGTTAAATTTCTGATATGAATCTTGAAATTTTGATTTATTGGGAAGGGTTTCACAGCTCTGACTGGAGAACCAAACAGCAACAATGAGAGATAACAAGGTGTAGAGCTGGATGAACACAGCAGGCCAAATAGCATCAGAGGAGCAGGAAAGCTGACATTTTGGGTCTGGACCCTTCTTCAGAAATGAAGAAGAATTTCTTCAAAAATGAATCTCTACACCTTGTTATCTCAGATTCTGCAGCATCGGCAGTTCCCACTATCTCAGCAACAATGAGATACTCCACTTCAGACAATAGAGGGAGCCATAGCTGAATACATTACAACTAATTCTGAACATAGACTCACATATTCATATAGCATGGAAATAGACACCTGCACCCCTAGGTCTCTGTTTGGCAGCATTCCCCATGACACTACCATTAACTGTATACATCCTGCCCTGGTTTGTCTTACCAAAATACAACACCTCACGTTTATCTAAATTAAACTCCATCTTCTGCTTCTCGGCATCTTTGGCCCATGTAATCAAAGCCCCATTGTACTCTGAGATGATCATCGCTGTCCATTACACCACCTATTTTCGTGTCATCTGCAAAGTTGCTAACCATACATCTTATATTCACATCTAAATCATTGAAATCAATGACGAAAAGCAGTGGACCCAGCAGAATCATTGTGGCACACCACTAGTTACAGGCCACCAGTCCAAAGAGCCACATTCAAGCCAATTTTGTATTCAATTGGCTAGCTCCCCCAGATACCTTGTGATCTAACTTTACTAGTCTACTATGTGGAACCTTGTCACAACCCTTTGCTGAAGTCCATATAGACAACGTCTACCACTGTCTTCATCAATCTTCTTTGTCACCTCTTCAAAACACTCAATTGAGTTAGTGAGACATGATTTCCCATACAAAGCTGTCCTTGCTTTTCCGAATGTGTGCAAATCCTGTCCCTCAGAAACCCCTCCAATAACTTGCCCATCACTTCCATAAGGTTCACCGGTCTGTAGTTCCCTGGCTTTTCTTTACAGGCATTCTTAAATAATGGCACCACATTTGCCAACCTCCAGTCCTCCAGGACCTCACCAGTGGCTGTTGATAATACAAATATCTCAACAAGGGGATCGGCAATCTCTTTCCTAGGTACCCAAAAAGTTCTGGAGGAGATGTGCCCAGGTTCTTGGGGATTTATCTACCCTTCTGTGTTTTAAGACCTCCAGCAGCTCCTCTTCTGTAATATGAATTCCTTTTGAGACATCACTATTTCCCCAAGTTCCCTAACTTTAATGACCTTTTCCACAGTAAATACTGATGTGAAATGTTCATTCTGCGTCTCATCCATCTCCTGTGATTCCACACAGATGGCCACATTGATCTTTAAGGGGCCATATTCTCTCCCTAGTTACTCTTTTGCCCTTAATGTATTTATAAAATCTCTTTGGATTCTTTTTGACTATTTGCCAAAGCTATCTCTCGTCCTCTTTTTGCCCTCCTGATTTCCCTCTTAAGTATACTCCTACTGCCTTCATACTCTTCTCGGGATTCACTCAATCCCAACTGTATATACCTGACATATGCCTCCTTATTTTTCTTGATCAGAGCCTCAATTTCTCTAGTCATCCAGCTTTCCCTACACCTACCAGCCTCGTCCTTCATAATAACAGGAACTCAGTCTCTGAATTCTCATTATCTCATTTTTAAAGCCCTCCCACTTCCCAACCATCCCTTTATCTGCGAACAGACTTCGCCAATCAACAGTTGAAAGTTCTTGCCTAATACCATCAAAATTGGCCTTACTCCAATTTAGAACTTTAACTTTTAGATCCGGTCTATCATTTTCCATAACTACTTTAAAATTAATAGAATTATGATCACTTGCCTCAAAGTGTTCCCCCACGACACCTCAGTCATTTACCCTGCTTTATTTTCCAACAGAAGGTCAAATATTGCTCCTCCTCTAGTATGTACATCCACATATTGAATAGGGGAGTTTTCTTCTACACACTTAAATTCCTCTCCGTCCAAGCCCTTAACACTGTGACAGTCCCAGTCTATGTTTGGAAAGTTAAAATCCTTCCAACTGAAATCTGTAGGAAAACAGTTGGCAGCATTCAAAGTGTTTAGTGTGAGATAAATACATCAAAACCTAAGTTCAATTTTTATTGTCACCATATGGTAAGATGAAATTAAAATGTTATATAAATGTCAAACAATGGTAATCTAACTGAGCAAAAGATATAAAGGGCACAAATGTTTGATTTATAGGGATACAGAAAATGAAATGTTGTGAAGAGGCTAAACAAGGAGTTAAAAATACTTAGAGTAGTTATCAGTCCATTAAAGATGGGTGCAGGTAAAATTGCACTCAATATACCAATGTACAAATGCTTAAATAATGTGTAGTCCTTCTCACAATATAATATTCATGGTAAAAGGAAAGTAAAGTGAAACAAGAGGAGGAA